TACTCCAAATCACGGGATTCGGATTAACGGTTTCGATGACGGAGCAGGTTACTCGTGTCGAAAAAGGCTTACTCCGTCTGTTGTTTGTCATATCAAGCTGTGAAATAAAAAACTAAAAGAGTAGAAATGTATGAATGAAAAGACAACAGACACGACCGGATAAGCATGCCTGACGAGCGATAAGAACAGTGAAACCGGTCTGAGATCATACTGTGCCGAACAATACTTTTTATAATTTTACAATTATAATTTTCATATAAAAGAAAAATGTTTCATGACTTGCATGTGGGCTGAATATTGCCAGGTTGCCCAGGCCAAGGCAGGTGAATTTTCTTGAAGAATTTACAACCGGAACCTTCGGTTAGCCGAAGCCTGACTCGCAAAGCAGTGTGACGGTGTGTGTAAACCGCACTCCATTGGGAGCCGGTGTCCAGTTCATCGGATCATACGCCTTTCGGACGGGGTCAGTACACCTCGATGCCCAAATCAGTCGGTGACCATTGTCACAAATAGGAAGGTGTGTGTGGTTCGTACGCCTCCTCTTGGTTGGTTTGGAACCAGGGTGATCTACCAGCGGTCTACCAACTCGATTATAGCATCGGATTTCGGCTTTTTGTCTCTCACTTTGGCATGAAGACACCTCCACCACAAGAAGGCAATGAGTAGGGCTTCCTCAGCAGAGGCTGTTTGAGACGCTTGGTCGTATGGAAGCATTTCGCGAGGTGCAAGGGATGGGTGACCAGCCGCAACCCTAAGCACCCAATCCCGACCATACAGAGGATTTCGGTTTTATAGTTTTATCAAACCACATTGAACAATTGGTATAAACGGGAGTATGCACCCCCCTGGTCCCAATAATGTGTGTAATAAAATGTATCTCTAGGTCAACAATAAAAAGCAATTACAGATGTGCTTATGGAATTGAACTTCAGAAAAGAGTCGTGCGATTGAAAGTAACCGTAGGAGTTTAAGCAACCCACGAAAATGTCCACGACTGTTGAAAGCATTTAGCCATCCAGATATTAATATCAAGTATGTAGAAAAGGGCATACTCAGGTGGATGGCTGTGGTCAATCGGTTAAAGTTGCTGCCACTAGCGTGCCTTTGACCCACGGGTCCGAGGTTCGGACCAGGGTACCGTCATCCAACGTTGTGGTACGCAGCTTGGCTATCGCTTACGTCACCGATTTTCATGAGAACAGTAGGTTCTTATGACTGATGAGTTCATCGCTTCTGCTGTTCACCGAAACAGCATGAATTAAAAATCTTCCTTCAGTACGGTTGGGTTGGGTATTTTCAGTTGTGGTTGGTCACTCTTCACTTGCGCTGCGCGAAATGCTCCTATAGGACCAAGCGTCTCAAATAGCCTCTGCTGAGGAAGCTCTACTCACTGCCTTCCCGTGTTACAGAAGTGTTTTCCCACCAATGTGAAAGGACGGAAAATCGATATCTGGGTCGGTGTACAGTTAGCAATTCACTCAGGGGAGATGGATAAATACCCTGATTTCAAACCAAAGAAGAGGCGTACGAACCATACCCACCCAAACCTTCCCGGTGTTGGCAGTGGTTCTCGATTCCACTGGTCATTGAGGTGTTCTGGGACGGTTGACCCCGTCCAAAAGGCGTATGGTCCGATGAACTGGACACCAGCCCCAATGGACGATGGTTCTCAACCCGCTCCACTGCCTCGTAGATCAGGCTTCAACTAGGTTAAGGCTCCCGTTGTTAATTACCCCAGAAAATTCACTTGTCTCGGTTCGGGCAACCTGGTATTATTCCGTCCACATGCAATTCATGGAACTATCTTTTTTTATAAGGTTTACTGTACTACGATCTATTTGGCACAGTCTGGACTCGGACGTGTGTGAAATACGCCAGAACCTTGACAAATATTGCCCAACTCACCATAATGCTTCCCGGAAGCACGATCCCCACAAATGGAACATGGGAATATCAGATTCTGAGCAGAACACGAACTGACCACAGTGCCGCTACTACAGCCACTGTTCGTACTGCTTGTACTGGTTGAGCGTTCTGTGCATTGTGGCTGCGTCAGTGTACAATCTGAATTCAAGCTAGACGATATTGTGACTTGAGCTGCGGGCAATGCATCTAAATTGACGGTGACCGTCGACGGGGCCGTGGTCACCTCAGCTGACGATGATGATGTGGGCGCATCTGTACAGACGTTGGCCGTTGTTGTTTTTGTGGTGGTAGTGGTGACTGGTCCCATTACCTGATCATTGTTCGTGTCCGCTTGTGTGAACGGTACGGGGAATAGTTCAACCGGATACATTGAGCCAAGTCTTTGCAAACGTTCCACGGATGAAATGCGAAATGAATTAAGCGGATCCGGGTCACTTTTCAATGTGGATTGATGTGGGGAATTGGGAAATCCAGAACCGGGGACGACAAATCCGTGAGCGACCGATGATACATCTCGCCTGTCACCGTTGTATGAATCAAATGTGAAGCACAAACCAGGGGCAGAGTTCTGTTCGAATTGGAAATGCATACAAGACAAGAAAAGGTTCCGATTACATCTCAGAACACGACACAGTGAAAAATGCGAACCACATACTGATAACCAACATTAATTAGTAAAGTTCATAATCTGAATGCAAAAATGAGGAAAGAACTGCGATAACAGAGCTCGGGTAAGACCGGAATGGTGTGCCAACAAGCTGTTCTCGTACCAGAGGGATTTGATTGACAGACACGCATGACTGGATGTATAGAAGTGATTCAAACCATTTGGCTGGGTTATTTCTATAGTTATTACGATAATGTAACCAGACGCGGCGTGATGGTTAAAATGATGCTTATGGGGTATCCGGCAGTAGTAGTAGTAATAGTAGCACCGCTGACTCAGAGGGCTGTCGGCCCCTTTGGGGCTTTCTCTTTGGTCTCCATCAGGTGCTCTCACCTGTGGCTCCAAGAAGCTGTGTGGATGCAACAGCGGTGACACCCAGGTAAACCGCTCGACAGGCAGGCCAAACCAGGTTGAGGGTAACCGAGAGCTCAACTCTCTGTGGGTCGGTGTCTAACGTACGCGTTGGGCGGACGAAATCGCTTTCACGATTCAACGCCTGAGGCAATGACTCCGTACTCATCAGGGGTGCATGGAACCCTGGTCAGCTAGAAACGGTCAATGGCGTACGAGCGCCCTCTAGAGAGCCACCGGCAACTATGCGCTACCTTCCTGCTGCCTTGCAGTTACCACTTGGATGTGCAAAGGCTAGAGATGCCACCTCGATCCAAAGCCGGGGGAAGTTTCATGTAACTCCCAAGGAATTTCATGGATATTCACTCAACCTGTCTTGTTAATCATGCTACAGCGTTCCCGGGAAGCGACGCGCCCTGTGCTCCTCCAGTGGCTCGGGTGACACCTCAAACTACGCAAAACTTCTTACATTGGATGCTGGAATGTAAGAGTACTCTTAGATGCGGGGAAGCAGGCGCTAACGATACGCGCGCTGTATGACCATCAGCTGGATGTTACAGCCTATCAGGAGTCACATTGGTGGGCTCCGGCTCCAAAAGTATAAAAATCCCTGGTATCGATAGCCAATAATGGTTGTAACACAGCCGCAAAGAAACGTCGGGTCAACAACACAGAGTGGCACGTGCCTTAAGCCATCGGATTATTAGTGCTTTACTTTCCTGAAAACCAATACCTGCTAGGATTGCAGTAGCATCATTTGAGGGTCATCCACTAAACCTCGCAGTAGTCGCTGTCTACGCACCGACTCTCCCATCTGACAACAACATTAAAGATGAGTTCTATGGCAGTCTTCAATCGCTTGTTAATGAAGTACCCAAACGGAATGTACATGCCATAGCAGGGGGCTGGAAAGCTCGAACTGGCCCACAAGAAGAGACAACGAAGCAAATCCTAGGCCAACGCTGCGAGAATGGTGACAGACTACTCAGCTTCGCCTATCATAGTCGACTGTTTATTACCAACACGCGGTTTCAGTATCCGAAAAAGGATCGCCTGACGTGGTACGTCAACAACGGACGAACAGCATTTTAAACAGAATACGTTCTCATCTGTTCACGATGGGTTTCTTCGACTGAAGACTGTCTACCATACGGCGGGGCTGATTGCGGTAACGAAAGCGGATCTGATCACGTACTAGTTCGCGCGAAAGTCCATTTAACTGGCAGGAAAACCGTCCCCTGAAAACGCCCAAATTTGTTTACACTGGAGAATAGCGAGAAATTCCAGGCACTGATGGCTATGATAACTGCACAGCTGTCGAACGATCCCCTCGGTACGCAAGGAAAAACAGAGTTCGATTAAAACTCAGTAGACCAGGATGAAGTCGTCGGTACAACACGCTGTGCTACACGAACTGGGCACTGGGTCACGTCGTTTGAAGGACCGGATACGAGGACACATTATCCAATTAGTTAATGCGGCCAGAGAGGCACGCCTAGCTCAATCCTCCGCTTACGGTGATCTCAGACGACAAGCAACAAGATCGGCCAAAAACGGCAGGTGCAACTACTGGAATGGAATGGCTACAAAAATGGAGACAGCAGTCAACCTGGGCAATACGGTTACCCTCTACCGACTTATTCAATCAGTAACGGGTAGGGGACAAATCGCCTAATTTGTGTTTTGAGCAGCGCCTCTGGTGAGCACATTTCTGATGCGCAAGGAAAAAATTCCCGGTTAGTGAAACACTTTAGTCCTCTTCTCAACGCCCTCAAATCCAACTTATGTATGCGTCTTCCTGGCCACCTTCGCCATACGAAGCTAACTGCGTTCTGCCATCAGTAGCAGAAGTCCCAGATATCATCGACTATCTCAAGCGACGGAAATCTTCCGGCAAGGACGGGATACCTGCCGAAATATGCGCAGTGTTCTCCAGTCAATTTAAACCCTCTCCATAGCTTACTGTGTGCAATCTGGGAAACAGAAATGTGCCCAACTGACTGGACCACATCGATTTTACTACCTTTCCCTAAAAAGGGTGACAAATAAGTGTGTGAAAACTACAGAGGCATCGGCTTACTTGACGTGGTGACCAAGGCTTTTGTTGAACCACTTTGCTGCAACACGTCACGCACGCACTCGTCCTAACCAGAAGGGATTCCACCCCGGTGTGGGCTGCGTCGACCAAATAGTCACTTCATGTCGACTCTTGGAACATCACCACAAGTTTCAGCAACCCACAACAGTCTGCTTCATTGATTTTCGTGTGATTGCTTGATTTTCGACTCCGTAGACCGCGAATCCCTCCGCAATATAGTTCTTTCCCAGTTAAACTTGTCAACTTAATGAGATCCTACTATTCCAACAGCAACGCCCGAATCCGCATCTACGACGAGGAGCCATGCACGTTCGAGTTCGAATCTGGAGCGCGACAGGAGTGCTCATTGTGACCAACGCTGATCAAAGTTGCCGTGGACTAGATATTGGGTTTGATTGAAGGTTACCGTGGAGTTCAGATCTCTCGGAACTTATAGCTCACTGATTTAGAATTCGCTGATGATATTGCCGTCTTTGGTGAGGACATGTCCAACCTCCAAGTAATCGTTGACCGCATCAGTCGACAGGCCTTCGAGATCGGCCTAGAGGTGAACACATCAAAAACCAAAACCTTTGCGATGGTCCCGATTCATCCCGAAAATGCTTTATATACTTGGGCTCAACCATACTCCCCAAAGGCCACGCTAAAGGCGAGGTGCAAGTGCGCGTCGATGCTGCGAGAAGGGCATTTTACAGTTGAAGAATTCCCTTTGGCGTAGAAATGAAATCAGCCTCAAGAAAAAAATCCGAGTTTTCTTTGCAGCAGCCCATCCTGTCTTATGGCTATGAAACCTGGCCAGTTAGAGTCGAAGACTGTAGCAGATTAGAAGTCCTCGATTATTGGTGCTCAAGAATTATTCTGGGAGTACGATGGAGGGATCAGCTCTCAAATGAAGCGATCAGAAATAGGTGTTTTAGTCTTATATGGCTGCGGGTGGTAATACAACGGTGGCGACTACAATGATTTGTCCACACTTCGTAAGTCTGATAACGACCTGTCCAAATCTGCCTTGGCACCGCCTCTCTGCCCGAACTGGCGCAGTCGACACGGTGGACAGCTGAAAACCTGGCTTGACGCCGTACGAAAGGATACAGAGAACCTTGATCTCCGCTCAGTCTACGGCATTCGCCAATGGAGGTTAAATTGCATTAAAGGTAAGTGAGTAGAGGTTAAACGAAGTTTAGTCACAAAAACTCATGTGAGTACCTGAGTACCTCGGTCGGAGAACAGACACATGGGGGTATCTCTCTGAGAAGAAGCGAACGGAACGAAGTGACATAATAGGCTGAGCCAAGGAATCCTGCAATCTAAGGAAATCTGCAGTTGTTGTCGGTGTGTGTGTACGAATTAGCACATGAACTACGCGTAATGTCAAAATGAGATAGATACAAGAATGAACTGATGTTCACGAGGTTTCTCACTCATAGAGTCAGGGGCAATGAAGTACTATGAAAGGGAACACTTTAATGACACCAAGAACCAAACACCCTCCGGGGGAGGGGAATACGCAGAGGGTATTGTCCATTGAGAATCCACCCGGGGGCAGTCGAAGGGATATATCAAGTGCTAGATCAGCTGAATGTCCTTTAATGGATACCAACCGGTGATCAACATGTTGCTATTTAGCATGAATGGTCTGACAGTTTTTTCTCTACAATCTCCAGAACCATTGTACTGTTCCTGTTTTGCCCCTGATCGACGGGGATCCGAAGCCTTTGACAACACTGCGATGGCCAATTTCTGAAAGACCGAATATTTCGGATAAGCCTCCAGCTTGGATCCACAAATAAAGTTAGCCGCCTATTGCACACGGTAAATTCGATTGTTCTGTTAATGTGCAACACCATATTACAGACTTCCAAGCAAAAACAAACAGCTGGGTTAGACAGCCAATGACGAACTAACAGTTTTCACGTGACCAGTCAATCGAAGTGCCAATCGCGTTGAAACCACTGCACAATCAGACTCACTGCCAGTGAGTGACCCGGTGAATTTACGGATCTATTAAAGCCAACTGTGGCTTACTATAATACTGTTGACTCGGAGGCGGCACTATCAGGGTGTGGTGGGTTTCAGGCCGATCACCTGGTCCCTGTTTAAAAGCCGCCTAAGCCCAATGACAGTGTCGTGACAAAGGTCGATGTGACTGACCTTTTAAAACTAAAGTCATTGACTCCCTCACTTCCGGGGTTGAGGGATTACTTTCTGCTGCCTTGTGCAGTTCGCACTCGGTTGTGCAAAGACTAGAGATGCGCCCTCAAAATAAAAAAACGCCGAGTGACGCTGGAGACGTCTCTTGCACCAACCTCCCAAGGAACTCCATGATCATGATCATGTCTGGAGCCGACTTATTCTTTCCAATGAGCCAGCCGCAGTAAAAAAACTCGGGTCAAGTTGCTGACTGCATTGGATGATAACTAAGTTCTATGAGAGGTGTCCAAATTTGGTACAAGACAGAATTAGTCGAAAGTTTACAACGGACTGAGATAACCCGTCACTGTATACTGTCTGACGGTAATGTACAATGATGCCAAGGTGGGTTTTTGATGCGCCCAGATTTTCGGCATGTGGCTTGAACTCAACTGTGAACAATTTTTTTCTCTCATATAAGTGTAAAATCAAATGAATGAATTCAATGTATTGCTCATATGACTCCTATCAAAACACATTGAATCTTTTTTGATCACACTCTCGTGTGATGAACAGCAATCGGGGCGCACCCCATAGTCACGAGAACCTGCTGTTCAATGATGACCTAAGCCCCGGGACTTGAAGTGGTGAACCACAAAAGGCCCCGCTAGGTGAGGCGTGGTATTGAACCGGACGATAGCAAAGCTGTCTACCACCAAATTTGGTTGGCAATGGCAAGGCTTCAACCTCAGACAACAGAGTCCAAGACACGCCCGTGACAGCGACTAAACCACTGCGCCACAACCACATCTGCAGACAGTCGGGACGTATGCGGAGATGAGAAACGGTGATGACGATGGAGTGGCTATTCTCTGGAAAACCGCATAATAAAACAACTAATAATAACGACTCACTGAAGCTACGGCCCTACCGTTCACTGCCGTATACAGCCTGAACGAGCATTACGGTCTACTAATATGCGGAAGGATAAACTAGAGATTGTTAAATGTGAATGGCATTATCATATGCTGGTTCTCTTGTTTATGCACCCTTTTCTATTGCGTATTACATAAACCTCTTTTTTCTATTACAGCTCATGTACCGGATTTATGGGTTGAGTAAAGCGTATAATTCCAACTCAGAGTTTTCTCCATTCTGCTCTCGTTTGCTTGATTTGTAAAACGTTGCAGGCATGGTACGAATACGAACATGGCAACAAAAGTGACATAAAAAAACTCACATGACGTAGTGTATGATTGATGGAATCTGTTGTACCACTCCCGCCAAGCCGCTGATCCATATAACGAAGTGTTGTTGAGACCGGGGTCTGGGGCGATTGGTTTGGATTGGCAATTGACGACGGTCGCCGAGCAGAAATTGTAGCCATATCTAGCGGAGGAGGAGAAGTATTCGGAGGAGTGCCGAACATTCCGTGTGAGCTGAAAACCACAGTGGTCACCGGTTTGACAGACGGATTCTGTGACGATGAATGATGATGCATCGCACGTTCCGAAACGGTCGGATTCTTGTTATGAAATCCTATCCCCGCGTTGGCCGGAAGTGACGAGTAACCGGAACTGGATGTTAGTAACTGGGAGCTACGGTTTCGTCCCGAATTCACATTTCGTTGTGGATGCGTGGGACGGGTATTCGCAGAACACGATGACAGTACACGCGGCTGTTGTTCGCGTTGCTGTTGCTGCGGCTGCTGGTTTGCCATTTGATTCACCGTAGGATACGACGAGTGAGATGGCTCTCTGACTGATGCCGGTTCCGAGGGTATCACACCCACAGATAGGACCGAGTGAATGAGATCGACCGATGAAATGGGCGCGTTGTTTGTATTGGTATTGGAGGTCCGATAAACAGTCTCCGGGGACGGACATAGTTGCCCGTTCACCAACATAGTCATTGAGGGAATAGGGTAAGACTTGGTCGTTTGTCGCCTATTGGACTGAGTAGATGAATTAGACATGGAAC